GCCAGATAGATAGGAGACTGAGGGTGACGTTTGGTGGCATGTGTGCTATGATCCCGCATTGATGGTAAAGGATCCATTGGCATAGCCACTTTGCAAAGACATTGACGTCATCTAGTAAGAAGGAAGACAAACCTCTCCTTTTGTTTTACTCCTGTCCTAGAGAGCAGTGGTTTTCAAACTTGGACCATAACCCACATTTAGAATGTGTCTCAAAATCATCAACCAACACTACCTACCTACCCTTACTGCATGTGTTACGTTCCAAAGTGCTCTATCCTCTTTCACTTGAAGAGTGACTGTCACCAGTTTCTAAACGGATTTAAGAACCAACTGATGGGATGAACCATTAAAAAACTCCACACTCATATACTCAGGTAGACATGTACAAAAAATGTTTGTAGCTGTATCGTTTATGATAGTCCAAAATTGGAAACAACCCAAATTGTACTGACAGAGAGTAAATAATAAAACATGATTTCATATTTAAAGCAATGACAGTGAGGTGCAGTTTATACATTAAAATATGGTTGAGTCTTAGCAACAATGTTGAGTGAGAAAAGCAAGTCATAGAACTTTATAAGGGTGACGCAGTTTTCAAAACACTCAATGATAATGTTTATGATAATCACAATGGAAGATTACATTCTCCCAGATATAAATTTTGTGCGCTTAAACACACACACACACACACACACACACACACATTTAAATTTGCTGGCTGTGGGTCATTTGAGATAAAATATGTAATGCTATAATGTATATTTTAACTAGAGTGGTGAATTCTTGTTATATTAGTTATGTTGAAAACATAAATTATAGGTGGGGAATAATTGTGAGCTTATGTCTTTTATTTCCAGAATACACACACACATTTGTTAACCTCTTTATAGATTTTTGTATACTATATATTTGTTAGCATGCCTATGTATTTTTAATATAGATATTATGGAATGTGCTATTATCATAAAAAGCATGTAAGCCTTAGGAACTCAGATAAATTATTGGTTATGTCTTTGAAGTGAACAGTCAAAACTGACTGAAGTTTGAAAACCCTCTGATCGTTGCTGTAGACCAGCTATTTTCAGCCTTTTTCATCTCATGGCACACATAAACTAATGACTAAAATTCTGCGGCACACCAAAAACATTTTTTGCCAATCTGACACAAAACAATTGATATGATTTTTATTCATTCACAACAGATGGCTATTGTGTTGACTGTTGTCATTTTTTTTATTTGACAATCTAAGGGAAAAAAGGTCAGTGCCCCTGACTAAATAGTCAGGTATTGCCTGTTTAAATCCTTGCAGCCCACCGGTTGACAGTTGCTGCTGCAGACGGGTAAGCCCGCAGAACTTTCCGACACGAGCACGTGGCAGGTGATGTCTGGGGCGCTGTGCAAGCAGGCAGAGAATTTCTTCTGGTGTCGCAGAGCTGAAAGTAGTTGGTAGCAGTGCAATTTATTTGCCAGCTGAATAAATAGAAAACCAGGTCAAGAATAAGATGATTTAAAAAATCAATGTCTTATACCTAATTATGTATGGCTCACCCTTAACTTTTTTCTTCTGGCTTTGAATTTAAAATGAAAGTAACTAAGAGGCAATTGTTTTTGGAATAATGTGGTTTTAAAACTATTCAGCATTTCTATTTTAGGCTATTTTTTCTTCTCAACATTTAGAATAAAAGAAAATCTCAAATTCCTGTTTGAACTGGAATATTAGTTTTAGACTAAATACCTGTTTCTATGCTGTTTGTTGGTATTTTTCCAGCTAAATTCTTCTCCTAATAGTTATAATGTCAGAATAAGATATGTTTTAAATGAGATAGGCTTTTAAATGAAAATCAATAGTGCATTTTCCATAAAACAAAATGGCTTTAAGAACTACTTCAGACCTTATTTCTAAATATAAACATTATTTTTATGGGTCCTGGGAAGTAATTTTGACTTTTTATTGCCCAGTGGAATACTAAAAAGTTGTGGCAATTATATCTGGTAATAGGTAGTATATTAAATGTTCTCATTGAAATGCATCCAGTCATTAAAGTGGAAAATTCACATCAGAGAATTTTATACTTTAATAAGTTTTATAAATAAGCTACATGATATATATATTTTTTATCTATTGCCATTTCCTTTTATTCATTTCCCTCAAGCAAGAAATACAATTTTGATTTCTGAATGTTTGTTTACCTTTTTTTCCACCACAGTCCACTCTTCCTACACCTCTCCCTTACACATACATACATGGGTGCACATGTGTGCACACATACAGATACACACTTGTCTTTGAGACCACACTGATGTTTTTTATGTTGACTTCTCCTATCTTCCTATCTTATGTTGCTTTTTATAGGAGCTGTTGTCTTATAGCTAGCATTTAACATATGCTATCATAACATAAAGCAATATGGTGGAAAATCATAGATCATAGCTAGCTTTCAAATCTTGCCTCTGCCTCTTACTCCTCTTATTGTAGTGAACAAATACTTAACTATTTTGTGCCAGAATGGAGAATATAGAATTCATTTTGCAGATTGGAGGGAGTACACATTATTGCAGCTGGTATTTTATTTTATTTTTTTTAAATATGTTTTTATTAATTTTGCAGGGAGAGGGGAAGGGAGAGAGAGAGAGAAACATTGATCACTGACTCCTGCACACCTCCTGCTGGGGATCAAGCCTGCAACCCAGGCATGTGCCCTGACCAGGAATCAAACCAGGACCTCTCAGTCTATGGGACGATGCTCTCAATACACTGAGCCACACTGGCTAGGCAGCAGCTGGTATTTTATAGCTGAGCAGAAATAATGTGTTAATATGTCATGACCTGTGAAGACTATAAGAATTTATTGTGTTAGCCTGCCAGTATTCCATGGATGTTGGCAGAAGACACAAGACTGTGGTGTCAGAGACAAAGAACAGTTTATTGCAGTAATAGCAATAGCCAGAGTAAACAATTTTGTAGATTCCTGAGCCCAGATTTCCACAGGGCAATGTTAAGAGGGCCAAGTTTAATACCTACATGCTTAGAGTTTGTGTCACTAGAGAACAATCCTGAACTTAGAGAACCCAATCTTTTCTGAGAGTTAATAAGACTGTCCTGCCTTCTCCCCAGTTTACCATGCTGGACAGCAAACATAAATCCATTTGCTTGAGAGGCAGACGGCTACCTCCATCTCCCAAGACTCTTCATTATACAAATATCTTTGGAAAGATAGTTTAAACATATGTGCTTGATTAGTACTTATATCTTAGCGTACTTTGTCTTATACTCTCTCCCTTAAATCTGCAATTGTTTTCCTTTCCATAAAAGAAAATCCAACTGGCCTAGAAGACCATGAATGCTGACTGATCAGGCTCAGCAGTTCTCCTGACGTCACCTCATACCACTACACTGGTCCCCTACCTCTCAAACCTACCACAGCCTTTAATTTGTTCTTTCCTCAGATCGTCACCTAGCCAGCTCCTTACCATTCAGAGTTCAGCATGAGTCAAATCAGCGGGTGAGGCCTTACTGACAGCCTCCTGTAAAGTAGCTCCCAGACATTTTCTCATATCTCTGTTTTTTTATAGTGCTGTATTTATCAGAGTTTTTATTGTTTATTGCTTGTCTTTGCCTTCTGCCCCATCCCATCACACAGAATGTAAACATGTTTTACAGCTGTACTTTATCTCGTCTTTAAATAATACCACTTACTGCTTAGTCTCTCAGTGTTTATTGGATGGATGGATGGATGGATGGATGGATGGATGGATGGATGGATGGTTGAATTAATATTCTCTCTGCTCTATGCTTTTTGTTTCTCTGTTTTTCCCTTGTACTTTTCCTTTCTTTGTTTTGGTTAATAATATTAAACTGTATTATTTGATTTCTAATGAAAAACTTGCACTTTTTCTAGGGTTAAAAAGGGGGAAATTAATGTCTTCCCCAAAATAAGATAAGCCACTTACTTGTTAAAGTTTAATTATATCTTTTTCTGTTTAATACTGTTAATGATAAGCTTGCAATTAGATAACCTGTTTGGTTTTATTGGTACGATGCCATGCTGTTTGTGGGCACTTAGAAAAAGTCCATGTTTACCTGCTAATTCCCACTAATGTCACAGGAGAGGCATTTCCTGATTTGTATAAAACTTAGAAAATAAGAAATTAACTAATCACATATCTGTTGAGATCTTTTTATGGTTTACATGGTGTTAATCATTTTGATGAACTGTCAAAGGGTTTGAGTTTAAAGTGCCAAATATTTCTTTAGTTGTTCTTATGGTACTTCTCTCTATGTGAGAAAAATTGTTAAACGATTGTGGTATAAAGGACCCATTACAGAATTTCAGTTCTTTTTATTATTTGTTTAACAATTTTATTTGTATTCAGTAGTTTACTTAGCAGAGGAGGTGTGGGAGACTCTAATACATTTACTAGATATTCTTTTGGAAGGATATATAGAAAAAAAGTTTTGTTTGTAAATTAAATGGTTTTTATTTTTAGTTTCTGTCTTCCTTCTCCTAGCTGATTCCTCTGAGATACAGGTGCTTTAAACATAACATTTGTGCCCCGGCCGGTTTGGCTGAGCAGTTAGAGCGTAGGCCTGTGGACTGGAGAGTCCGGGTTCGGTTCCTGCTAAGGGCACGTACCTTGGTTGCAGTTTGTCCCTGGCCCCGGTTGTGGTCATGTGGGTGGCAACAACTCAATGTGTCTCTTTCACATCGATGTTTCTCTGCCTCTTCCTCCCTATCTCTCTCTATCTGAAGATAGATGCAAAAATGTCCTCGGGTGAGGATAAAAAAACCCAAAAAACAAAACATAACAGTTGTATTTATAGATACATGACATTTAACAAGGATTCTTGTGATGAACTTTTAAAAGACTGTGTTACTAATATAATAAGTAATTATTTTAAAGATATTTAATTACAGTTCTACAGATTAATAATTTTCCATTTTCTTTGTGGAACCACTGTGGTTAAAATTGATCATTTTTTCAAAATTAATTTCTTATAGCAAGCAATAAAGGAAAATGTTAAAAAAAGAGAAGCAGAGGAAAAACAAAAACGTGCCAGAATAGCCCAAGAATTGGCAGAGAAAGAAAGACGTGAACGCCAGCAAAAGAAAAAGCGCTTGTTAGAAATGAAGACTGGTGAGTACTGTCATATTTGCTGTTTATACTCTGTACCATTAAGACGTATACTGGTTACTTTATTAGTAGTTTAATATACTTTGGTGAAAAAGGAAGATATGGTTACTTATTTGTATTGCTACATTGTAGATTAATTCATTTTTGTAGTGGTTTTCCCCCAACTAACTATTAGTGTTTTCATTCTAACTTTGGTTGTAGGTGATTTCGGTTTTATGGTATCCTGTAGTTCCAGATATTCACATTTCTTTGACTATTTCAACAATCGGTAATAATTTATGTCAGTTAATAAATAACTCTAGGAAACTGTAAAACTCTACAAGCCAAGTAATCCTGTTTCTTCAACAAAATACTGTATTAAGGGAGGAAAAAGTAATGGGGGAAACTTAATGATTAAAAGAGATTTAATATGGAACTGAAGTATAGGGTGAGGCAAAAGTAGGGTCACAGTTGTATGGGAAATAATAATAATTAATAAATGATGATACAAGAATAAACTGTTTCACTTACAACTGTAAACCAATTTTTGCCCCCCCTTGTATATTCCAATCCAAACACATGTAGGAAAACAGTCTGAAAAATATGAATTTTTATTCTCTTATAGACATGACAATGTTGTGAATATGTTTCTAAGTATCTTTTAGAGATTGAAATTTTATAGGTGAAATGGTACTGTTTAGGATTTCAGTCAAAACAGTCTAGTGTAACTGGAAAGTAGGTGGGTTTGTAGATGAAACAAGACTGGCTGTATTTAATTGGTTGTATGTAATAATTGGCTGTATGTAATAATGACTCAAGTTGGGTGATGGGTATTTGGAGGGAAGAGTATGTTTACTGCACTAGTTTCACTATCTTGGGATATTTTAAAATTTGACTTTGGGTGGTATTCACACAACGCAATATACAGATCATGTATCATAGAAATGTGCACTTGAAACCCATATCCTATTAACCAATGTCATCCCAATAAATTTAATTTTTTAAAAAAAACCTCTTGGAAAAAGTTAAGAAGAAAAAATAGCAAACTTACCGCTTTCCAGAGATACCATAAATTTAGAAGCAAAAGAATTAAGTAAATTATAGTTATATTTCACCCCCTGAAAATTCTGCCTCTTCTACCTCTAAGCCAGTAAGGACTGCAGAGCCTTTAATTAAAATCTCTCAACTTCACTGCTAAATTACCATAGCTTACAGTTCAGGGTTGCAGATTCACCTAAGGTTTCCCTGGGGGTACACAGAGATGCCTTCTTGCCTTCTCTCCTTTTATTTTTACAGACATATTTTATCTTTAATAAAGCAAGCTGAGTACCTTAACATATCACACACGTTTCTTCCAGAAGGGAAAAAAAATCAACTAAACACAGTTTCTTTAAGAGTACACTTGAAATTCAAAGTGTTCTGAGAAATATCTTAACGTGTAAACAAAAATGGGGATCAGAAAGGTTTAGAATTTGGTTCTGAAAGTCATTTTGAAATGACCTATTACTGTCCAGTTTACCAGACATTCTGGTATTTGAACATTCGCTCATTTAGTGTTGGTTAAAGAGTCATCTGGACGGCTCCCTGGCATTGGCTGTATTGTCTGTTGTGGGTTTTGCCTGAGGATCTAGCACACAGCCTCTCAGCAGTTGTGTTCCATCCGTCTAGAAAGTCAAAGCCTGATAGGAAGCAAGCTTTTTCATGAAACTTCAAATCCAATATAATCTTAATAATGACTTTATTAAATTTATGTTTCTCTTGATTAAAAGTTCCAATTTTATGAGTAAATAAGTTTTGTTTTTCCAATTTTAATATAATACTTTTGTATTATAGAAAACACCTAAAAAATAGTAGATATTTAGCCCTGGCCAGTTTTGCTCAGTGGTTAGAGCATCGGCCCATGGTCCAGAGAGACCCTGGTTCGGTTCCCGCTAAGGGCGCATGCCTCGGTTGCAGTTTGTCCCCGGCCCTGGTTGGGTTGTGCGGGTGGCAGCCACTCAATGTGTCCCTTTTGCGTCGATGTTTCTCTCTCTCTCTCTCTCTCCCCCCCCCTCTCGCTCTCTCCCCCCCTCTCTCCCTCCCATCCTCCCTCCCACTCTATTTGAACAAAAAATGGAAAAATGTCCTCAGGTGAGGATTAAAAAAAAAAGTAGATCTTCAAACCTTCACCCCATAATCCTCCTATCCAAAGAATTACTGCTAATATTTTGGAACATTTTTCTTTCAGTTTTAAAATGTTCTATTCTACCTCTTAATAACAGCTATGTAATCCTAGTGAATATGCAATTTCGTGTTGTTCTTAACTGTGATTCTTAATATCTGTGTCATCGCATCACTAGATATGTCATATGAAAGTGAACTTGCGTTAGCTAGTAATGTGGTCGTAGGACAAGTTATTTCCATCTATTCAATGTGATAAATGCATTTATGCACAATTAATTGACAAATATCATTATTAGGATGCACAATAGAAAAGGATAGATATCTTTAAGGCTTTTAATACCTGTTGCCAAATTGACTTCCAAAAGTATTATTCTAATTTCACCAACTTTTAATATTAGTTTATAAATGTGCCTTGGTTGAGTATTCTAATTTTTTAAGACTTTTGTTAATTTAATAGATTAAAAAGTTGTGTTATGGCTTAATTTGCATTTCTTTGATTACTGCTGAGGAGGTTGGACATTTTTCAGGTGTTTATAGTCTGTACTTTTTTTAGTTGTGTTGTCTTAGTCTTTTTTCCTATTGATTTACACAAATTAGCTCATTACATATTGATATTTACCTTTTAACTATGTTTTCTCAATTTGGCTTTTTATTTTTCTGTTATGACATATAAAAGTGTTTCATTTTTGTTATATGTTTTCTTATAATATTTGCTTTTGTGATTTTTTAAAATCATCTTTAAGTTTAGAAAGTCATTCCATCAATTTCATATACATTTCAATTTTTTTCTAGTTTTAGTTTTTTATAATACTATTTTGTTCCATTTATTATAACTCTTAGTCATTCATATATTTAACATAGATTTTAATATACTAGGACTTATTTCTGAATTTTACCAAAACTTCTAATATTTAACCATCAATTATGGTTAATAATTGGTTTGTGTTGGTTTTAGATAGGTACGTTTATGTTGAGGTTGTTACTTTTCTATTCTTAATTATTTAAATAGATTTGAATATTTTTTTATTTTTAAAATGCTTTAAAGGGAAGGTTTCTATTATGTTATTTGTTAATCAAAGGATAGTCTCGGTAACATTGATTTATATAAATTATATTCAATAAATACTTTAAAATAATGTCTTTAAAATAAACACTATATATTATGTGGGAATATTTTAATATATTTAATTAAAGTCACTTGATAAAGGAGGAGACAACATTTGATACAACAGGAAGCTGTGATGTATGTAGGAAGCGATCTTTGAAACATTTTCTCTCTTTTAAAAAATATTTGAATAGCTCTGGCCAGGTGGCTCAGTTGGAGTGTAGTCCCATATACTGAAAGGTGACAGGTTTAATTCCTGGTCAGGGCACATACCTACGTTGTGGGTTTGATCCCCAGTAGGGGGGTGTGCAGGAGGCAGCTGATCTGTTTCTCTGTCACATCGATGATGCTATCTCTCTCTCCCTTCCTCTTTCTAAAAAATCAATGAAAACATTAAAAAACAAAAAAAACACCCTATGAAAAATATAACAAAATTCTAAGGAGTGAATCAGACGAGACATATATAGGGACAACATCTATAAGATAATTACAAATTATAAAAAAGTTCTACAACATAAGACAGGATAATGAGATGGAGATGGGGACTAGCTGGGGTGGCGAGTGGTGACAATGAAATTTGGTCTTAGAAAACTAAGGAGAATATTAATGTGTACCAAACATACTAATTTAAAAATTGGTTATATAAAACTACTTAGAGATTGATTTTTTTTAAAACAGTCATTTTAGTAAGAACATGGTACAATTGACCCTTGAACAACCCCAGAATTACAGCCCAACCCCCATGCAGTCGAAAATGCACTTGTAATTTTTTTTTTTTTATGAATTTTTATTTTTTTGTTACAGATATTTTACCTTTTTGCCCCATTGGCACTCCCCCCACCCCACCCCCCCTCCACCCTGTCCCCGGCTTAGTTGTCCATGTCCATTGGTCATGCATACATGCATATAAGTTCTGTGGTTTATCTCTTCCCACCCCCCATCCCCCATCCCCTCTTCTGAGGGATGTCAGTCTGTGCCCTACTTCCATGTGTCTGGGTCTACTGTATTCCTCAGACTGTTATGTTCATTATATTCCGTATATAAGTGGGATCATGTGGTATTTGTCTTTTTCTGCTTGAACTCACAGAAAGAGAAACTGAAAAAACAATCCCATTTACCATCGCGCCAAAAAAATTACGATACCTAGGAATAAACTTAACCAAAGAAGTAAAGGACCTATTTGCAGAAAACTACAGGTCATTGAAAAAAGAAATAGAGGAAGAAATAAAAAAAGTGGAAGCACATACCCTGTTCATGGACTGCACTTGTAATTTTTGACTCCCCAAAAACTTAGTTGTCCCTCAGTATCTACAGGGCTCTGGTTCCAGGACCTCCACAGATAACAGTGTCCACGAATGCTCACCTTCCCTATGAAAAGTGGCGCAGATCAGTGCGTACAGGTGGCTCTGCGTCAGCGCACTCCCAACCACTAACTGCAAGCAGTCCAGGCATTTATTGAAAAAATAAATCCGCCTGTAAGTGGACCCACCCCAATCAAACCTACTGTTGTTCAAGAGTCAGCTGTACTGCTCTTATCTTCGTAGAAGTTGTCAGCCTAGCTTTTCGATCCTTAAAAAAATGTGGAAGGTGAATTGTTGAATTTACTCTTGTTTTGTCACTTTTCTGGACCAGGAACTTTTTGTTTCATCTAATTTTTGTATTTAGACATGCGTCCTTAAATGAGGAAGAGAAATATCTTCATATATATAATCCGGCCATATTGCCACAGGGTGCACCCTTCTCCATTTCTCATGGC